CAACAAGTTATTCTTATTTTCAACTTCAATTTTATTTTTGGAAAAAAGGCATTAACTTTTAAAAGTTGATAGATGAATTATCTATATATATATATTTTAAAAAAAAACTCATATGGCAACTATTATGCATTCATAGGTTTCACTAGCTCATAACACAAATAAATATTATAAATATACTAATATTTTTTTATATTTATATGAGGAGGAATTTATTTACTTTAAGAGTAAGTTTTAATAAATTTATTTCACTCAATAATTTAAATTATATATCAAATTTTAACAATTCAACCGTTAAATTAATTTTTTTAATATATAAATTTAATATATAATTTTTTTAAAAGATTTAAAAATCATATAATATTTTATTGTATAAATTCAAATTAATATATAAAATACTTTTAGTGTAAATATATTAAAATTTACTCTTGAAATAAGTGAATCTCACTTTTACTTATATAACAACAAAAGAGATTAGACCTTTTGGTGGACACAATTTTTTTTCCTATTTCTCCTATCTAATTATTCTTTTGTAAATCATAATTTTTTTAAAATATTACCCAATAACTATTCATACTTTCAATTAATCACCTATTATTATATATATATTTTTTATTTTTAAAAGTTTTATAGAGGTATGAAGTGTCTTTAATACACTAATATATATAAAAGAGATTTTCTATTTTTGTGTACACGTTATCATTGATAATTTTAACCTTAAAAAATTACATGATAATAATTAACAAAGGTTAGAAAAATATTTTTATAATTTTTTTTAATTTCTTAATAACCATCTACTATATATTTAAAAAAAGACACTATTTTTTATCCACTAATAACAATAAAAGAGATTATTTGATTTGGTGTTCCCAATTTCTATATACCATTTTTTTCTCTATAACTGTTAAAAAAACTGACAAAAAATACCATAAATATTAAAACAGTAAAAGTTGTCATAATTATTTATTCATTATTTTACTTCTGTATTTTACAAAGACACGGAATCGCATTTTCATTTCTAATAATGAATAATGCAGTCGCCCACATAGTTTTAAAAACCGGACCGGTCATCGAACCGGTTAAGGTATTGGGTCAGTGAGTCAAAGGTTGAACCAGTGGGTCACTGATTGAACCGTATGACTCAATTTTTATTTATTTTTATTAAAAAATATTCATATTAAATATATTTATACTTATAAATTTTAATAAATTCATATCTTATTTTAAAATTAAAATTTTCTATCTTATTTAAAATTATTTTTATTTTTATTTTGTAAAAAAATACATAAAAAAATTACATGTTAAACGATATATTAATACAAATTAAAAATATAAATAATATGTACATATATAATATGCTTGCAATTAATATCACAAAATAATATATGTAATATTTACATAGATATTGAATTATTAAATATATAATTTAAAATTAATAATATACTATAAAAGTTATTTAAGTTGTATATATTGCAAACAAATATATTAGAACAAGTAGTCATTGTTATATTTAATAAGACTCCTTGCTTTTTCATTAAGAGATTCAATTTTCATTATTATTTTTGTGATTTATGGTCCCTTAAAAAATTTAAATAAAAAAAAAGTGGTTGAACCGGTTTGACCCACCGGTTCACCGGTTGAACCGGAAAATTGACCGGTTCAATCCAATTTGAAACGGATCGACTGCATAACCGATCCAACTTCAGATTCGGACCGGCTGGACCACCGATTCCCGGTCCAACCGGTCCGACTGGCCGAGTCGGTCCGGGTTTTAAAACAATGCCGCTATATATATTTGAAAGATATTTAAGCAGAATGATTTAAGGTGCAAAATGAGATTGTGTTAAAAAGTAGAGCAAAATGAGATTAAATTACAGATTGATTAACATTTTTACAATTAATATTGATTTCAGGATCTGTGTAAAATGTAAAATTTAACGGATTTTAAATATTGTCCATGCAATAATATTTATACAGCTGTCAACATTCACGACCATCGTTGAATGTTGGAATTTTATGAAACATTATTGTTGGGCAATGTTCTCCAACATTGATCCTTGCGTGATGCAATTAATGGTCCATATATTGCTTAGTGACAAAATGTTATCGTTGAGTGATATGATGCCCATACATTTCTGCGATCCATAGATTTACAATTTTAGCTTCACAAAGTATACAAAATAGTTTATTTGATAAAATAATATTAACTAAATTAAGATATTGATTGTTTAAAAAATCACAAATTTTCTATTTGTCCTCCCCCTTTTTTTTAATAATTTTTTTTACATGATATTATTTTGTTACTAAATGGATCCTTCACAAGTCCATTAGTTTTCTGTTTGTTGTTGGTTAATGCTATTCCATTCCTCTTAATATCTCAAATAAGTGTCTCATCAAAATATTTTAAGAACTTGAGATGATATTTATATTATAAATTTAAAATATTCAAGATATAATATAGTATTTTTATGAGTATAAATATATATTATAATTTTTTTTTTATTAATTTTCATATTTTAAAAATATTAGAAGCTATTTTTAAGTGTGTTTGACTAGATAATTTAGGAGTTTATAACATCATGTACCAACAGATGATATAAAACACTACGTACCAACAGATGATATAAAATACTACACTAAGGTATCAAATCATTTTATATATTAATTTAAATTAATAAAATGAAGTATCAAATAATTTTTAAATTTTTTTAAAAAATTTGTAGACTTTATTTTTGTATTAAGAACTTTCAATTTAACAATTGAGTAATTAAAATTTTATATAAAACATGAGTTATTGAACAAAATAAACTTATTCTCGAAATAAACAAATCTTTCATATATTTTTAAAAATAAAGACTATTCAAATGTAATAGTATTTTATAAGAATATAAAATATTGGAAAATTGTGTGATATTTCACATGAAAAAAATATCATTATTATTGCAAAGACTTAAGTATATTTTTAGTCCCTCGAATTTAAGATAAATTTATTTTTGATCCCTCAAATTTAAAATTGTTATTTTTAGCTTCTGTAATTTTAAAAAAATTTATTATAGTCTTTATATTTACATTTTTTAAGAAATTTATCAAATATTATTGTATAAAATTTACCTATTGATATTTTTGTTAGTGAAAACATCACAGTAAATCCAATTGATATTATATAACTGTCTTAATTTATCACTTTTCAGATATATTATAAGTGATCTAAAGGATTAAAATAAAATTTTTAAAAATTACAGAAATTAAACAACAATCATTTTAAATTTGAACGACCAAAAATAAATTTATCTTAAATTTATGAAATTAAAATCATATTTAAATCTTATTATAAGTTTATACCCTTGACGGTTGCAAGAGTTCAAACGTGCAAACTAATCAGTCATTATAGTATGTCAATTAATTAATTAGAAAATACGTATAGATTAGAAGATAATTGGGTGGTGATGGCACGCAAAACCAAAGTCTATGTAATATTGCAAGTCAAAGTCATCACGGGTAATGATAAATAATTTCCAAACTTTCTTCTTTCTTTTTTTCCTCCTGAACTGTCTCGAACAAAATGGACTCCAATAATAATAATCTTAAATAAAGTTTTCTTCCCTTCTAAATAACTGTTTGGGTAAGATTAATTAAAGAAACATTATAGTTAGTGCTTCCATAATCTATGAAAGTCTAACTTATTTATGTATATATTAAAGGAAGTCTAACTTTTTTCTCTCTCCCTCTCTCTTATTGTATGTTTAAAGGAAAATATAGAGGAAGAAAATGAAAAAGAATGGAGATAAAAATATTACATTTTAACTTTATTTGAGAGAAGAAATATAAAATGGAAATATTTTCTACGGAATTCATATATATATATATATATATATATATATTCTTTAAATTGACATTAAATAAAAGAAAAGACCATATTTTTCATTTTCTTTGGTTTCTTAAAAATTAAATATTTTTTTGTAACATTTAAAAAAAAAAATTATATTAAAAATACTAGAATAATAAAAAACCAATATTTTATATCAAATTCAATTTTTTTTTAATTAGTATAGGAATCTTTTTACAATTTATTTATTTATACTCTCTCTCTCTTTCTATTTATCCTAACAAATAGAAAGAATTTTCGTTGCTTCTTTCTTTCTTACTTTTATCCATTCAAACGATGTTTACTCTATTTTTATTTTATTTCTATCTTTTCTAAAGTACAGACTTAATCCGAGTAATAAGTTGAGGAGATTGTACTAGTACTAGAAAGTTATCCTCTTTTTACCACAAGCAAGTGCAACTCTCAATCATATGTAATTCATTTTATAGCAAAAGAATGGAATGCCTTGCTTGCTTTTCGTTTAATCAAAGCCACTGTCAATTTTGTACGTAAGGCCTGAATGGATTCAGTTTTTTTTTTTCTTTCTTTTTTCTAACTTACATTAATTAATTTCTTAACACCAAACAAGTAGTAGTGGCCCCACAAGGGAGGAGCACTTTTCCCTAACCCGTGATTCATGGGATCAAATTTCCACAGTAAATTCTTATTCTTAGGTCTCACTCACTCCTCAAAGTTTGATCACAAGGGACTGTTTTTGGAGGGAACATGAACATGGGTGGGTTACATTACATACCCCACACACCCCTATGCTTACTTTATTTTATTTTATTATAGATTACACGTATGATCTATAGATACAATTAAATTGAATATAATAAACAATAAAATTTTTCTAAATATTTAATATAGTTATATATCTAAAATAAAAACGCAAAATCAATAATTAAATTGAAATAATTTTGTATCATTTATATATCTAAAACTAAAATTCAAGATCAATAATTAAGTTGAAATAATCTTTATAATATTAAAACTTGATATCAATAATTAAATTGAAAAAATCTGGTACAAGTTATCAATTCCTAGCCGGTGGTTATTCTTACTTTTTCTTTAGTCACTCTCAAGACTCAACTAATATATAACCGATTTCACAAAAAGAAATTTAAAGCACATAGCCACCCTACTACAAAGACCAAGTCACTCCTTAGACTAAAACCACTCTCTTTTCACTTTTTCAGTTTCTCTTTACCATTCTTTATATATATACATATATAGACCACTCTTGAAGTTGAAGGTCATACATAATAACACAACACACATTCCTTGAAACTATGGATTGGTTCTCCTGGCTCTCCAAAACAGGTCTTGAGCCAACCTTAGTGTACGAGTATGGCCTCACTTTTGCTCACAACGAGCTTGAAGAAGAAGACATAATATACTTCAACCACGAGTTTCTGATGAGCATGGGAATCTCCATAGCGAAGCACAGGCTAGAGATTCTGAAGCTTGCAAGGAAAGTGAAGGGAAAGAGGCCACACCCACGCCCTG